AAACCAGGAAGATGATACAGGATAGCGAAGGAGTTGCTGGACCTTCAGCAAGCCAAAAGGCAGGCAAACAGAGGAGGCTTGAAGTGGTCTGTAGAAAAGAAGAAGCTGCATTGTAACCAAGAAATTAATGAGGAAAGATAATGTTGAAGGGTGCTATTGAGTGACTCACCCAGCAGAGACACAAAATACTGGTTGGGTTTTTAAAAAAAAACGGATTGGGGAAGAGTCTGTGGGATAGCACAACTTGAAAGTGAAAGGAAGGGAGCCAGAGTGAATGCAGCAACACCTAACAATAAGCCACCCTGTGGCAGAGCCTGTGTAAGAGCTGGATTCAACAGACAACTGTTTGCATTCCTCAAACACAGCTGGAAGAGAAAAGCAGCATCGGAGAATTAGCACACAAAGTTAAAGCAAAGCACTAACGCACTATGTAAATAAACTAACAGGTTTAATAGGAATAAACCTGGGATTAGGAAGCTGGATAAAATAGCGTACGAGTAGCAAATAATTCGGATTTAAAGTTTTACTTTTGTTAATTGTTGAGCAGCAAATAAATCCTTGCAAGGCTGAAACAATTGTACTTGTGTCAGCACAATCCAAATCAACAGTGACGATAACTGTAGCCTCTTTTAGAAAATGCTAAAAATTCTCATTAAACCCTTTACATATTTAAGGAAGGGAATGAAAAAAAATTATAGAAAAATGAAGTAATAGTACTTCATTTTGTATTTTTCAACACTCAACATCTTCCAAGAAAATAAAAAGCATAAGAGAACATGTATAACAAATGTGTTTATTAAAAAAAGGACACCAGTAACAAGGGCAAAACATACAGGCAGCATTCTCAGCTATCTATCAAAGGTAAAAACCTGTCTCTCCAGCTTGTACTGAATTATAAAGTGTAATAAACTCCACCTGGTCAATACCGAATAATGTTTTAAAATCTATGAAGATAAATAAAAAATAAATCTTTATTTTTTTCTCAGAAAGTGAATCTAGGAAGTTATCTTCAGTAACTACTGAATTGATCAACTATTGCAGGGAATGCGGTTCATACCAAAACAAAATTAGGAGCCACCCAAAGTTAGCAAAATGGAGTCAGTAACATTTCCTGAGAAGTAGATAATGTTCACTAAAAAGATGTAACCTGAACAGATTTGGAAAACGGACCCTGCTTTTTACTTGAAAAAAAATAAATATCAGGAGCAAAGGGCTAACAATTGGATACTTTTCTTAGTATAAAGAAATTCTTATTAAAAAGCCTCACAGTATTGATTTTTTTTTTCAGGAGTGAGTTACACCCTTGCAGTTCTCCAACAACTCCTCAGATTTTTTCCCCCACAGAATAAGAAACACCTGTTGGTTCTAACAGCCACCAGATTCAGCGAGCTATTTAATTCAGCTCCAGTTGCATCTCAATAAAATAAGAACCTCAGTCACGACAGCAAACACAACTAGGATCTGGACACCTATTTTTTAGCCCCACAGCTAACCACACCTAGATGGTTCTACCGCTCCTCACACCTTGGAGAGGAGCAGAGATCCCAGACCAACTTCATTAAACTGCTGCCAGGATCAGCACATGTGTCTGTTAACACTACCAGGACAAGGAAAGCTGCACACTGGATGGTCCCTACCAGTGTTGCAGATGGCTACTTTCCTTGTCCATCTGTAACAGCGAGTTCTGTTCTACACTATACCACGCTATTTAGAATATAAAATCAGAGATGGGTTAAAGAGCTAAACGAGACATTGCTGTGGAACATTTCCTGTTCAGAGCCTTTAAATGAAAAGGCTGATTTTTCAGGAAGTCAGTACCAATGCTGTGAATGGAGAACTGCCCATGGTAACCTACAATAACATTACAAGCTTAATGAATGAAAACAAGAAGAACTGTACTAATATTCCACTCAGGATGAGCATTCTCAGGCAATTGAACAGGTACCTACAGAGAAGCTCAGCTATGATTTTTGTTTTTTCTTGGCTGGCTTGATTGGAGAAAGCTCTTCCTCCTGGTCAACAGATTCCTCTTCCTCATCACTGAAGTCATCATCTGAGAGATCTTTTCTGTGAACTGAGAAACAATTTGGCTTGATTATACCATCTAGAGCAGTGGTTCTCAACCTTTTTAATGCGACCCCCAATCGGTCGTAAGTCGAGGACTAAACCGGTCGTAAGTCGAGGACTAAACCGGTCGTACGTTGAGGACTACCCAACCAGTCATAAGTCGAGGACTTTCCCTGCCCGGGAGCGCCGCGCATGCTTGGTTCCGCCCCCCTGCGCCGGCCGAGGCGTAGCTGGCAAGCGGCAGAGACGGAGCAGGCCGACCACCAGCTGGCCCAGCCCAAGGGAGGTAAGGCACCCGCCAGAAAAGGAAAAAAAAAAATGGCGGACAGCCTTGTTGGCGACCCCCGTGAAATGGTCAATCGACCCCAAATGGGGTCGCGACCCATAGGTTGAAAACCGCTGATCTAGAGCAGGGGTTCCCAACCGGGATGCTCGACGATATTCCAGGGGCTGCAAAAACTTGGATTTTCAAAATCATAGTGTATATGCATAATTCGTTGCCGTTATTTCGAAATTTTGTAAGGGGTGCAAGAATATATCAGAAGCGTTCTAGGGGTGCAGGGTATAGAGAAGGTTGGGAGCCGCTACTCTAGAGAATTCCTCAAGCCTCTATCCTTCCTATTACCCGTTAATTTCCAGAGCATCTCATATTTAGTAATTCACACAATATCCTAAATGGTTTGCATTGCTCCAAACTAGAAGGTAGGCAAAAATGCCAGTTCTGTTAGACAGCAGGTCTCTTTTCCATGTAAATGAAACAATCAGCTTATACTCCACACCAGGAAAAGCTCCAGAATTCGCAATATTGACCATGCTAGCTGGAGTAGCCAAGACACTTAACCTGGAATTGTGGCCTCTACTCCAGCAAGAACTACTACTTTTCTATGTCCCTTAACTATTATGGCCTGCTCGTTGTACCCAATAGTTTCTTCCATCCCATTCCCAGATTCTTACAGATTTGATGTTGTCCTGCAAGATGAACAGGGCCAGATCCTGAGCGCAGACGGAAGGTCACGGGAGGCTGGAACTCAAAATTATTTAAACACAACTGTGGAAAAATAAGGAGATAGAGTAATCATGAAACAAGATGAGTTTCTCCAGGTCTTATATAGTTCAACAAGTTTTGAGCTTTGTTACATCTGTGGCTATTTTTTTGGGGTGGGGGGTGGGGGGGAGGGTGTGAGCCATGACATTTTCATATAATTAAA